AGAGTAGAAGGCAGCCTGCACGCAGTCATTAAGTTTTTCAACACACACAAAGTGTCACAGCGGTTTAGTTCGGTTGGACTATGTAAGCTTTTCCAGTACTGCATTTCTCATTTTTTTCGAAGATTTACATGAAAAAATAAGAACGAAAGAAGAGGGTAAATCCTCGACAAGTGAAAGATGAGCCCCACATGCAGCTCCCTCTAGCACCCGAGATCCGGAAGTCCCGTAGCTACTGTGTCTGTACGTGTGACCCAGGGTCACATGGTCACGTGTTTTCAGTTGATCAAACACTGAAGTCAACATTATGGAAAGCTAAACAAGCCCCAAAGTAACAGTAGAAAGATACATACATATACCGCGGCTGTTCTCATTAGATTTCGACACTGTCAGGAACGCTGACGTGGCCAAAGCTCGGTGGCCCCGTGGGGATGACGGGGTGGGAGGGTGGGGGTGGGGTGTTCACGAAAGCCCAGCGCTCTTGGACGTGATGGTAGCTAATGGAGACTTGTGTTGGCAGGAAGTTACAAAATGAAGACTATTATAGCACTGATGTTTTTTAACTCAAATATTTTCAGGGAAGGAAAGGCAAACGAGTAACATGACCTACACGAAAATGCAGTCAGGAGTTACCTTGCGGGAAGAAGAGCAGGACGTCGGCTCCGCGGCATTCACCGAATGTCCTGCTGGGGCTCCAGCCACACACACAAGGGAGCAGGAATCGCACTGTGTCCGGAAGAGCGAACAGAACTTCACGAAGGAAGCGTTGGGGCCCACCTGCATTTTATCTAATGAGGAAACTGACTCGGCTTCAGGGCAATAAGATCACCCGGCCCGGCACGTACTCAAGGGGATGGGCGAGGCAGGGCCCGGAGCCCAGAGGATGCTCTGCCCGAAACCCCTGCGGCCACTGCCAATCAGCACCCGGGGCCGGGAGCCTTGGGGGCCGGAGGGGTCTACCTGCAAAAAAGCTGGGGGGCAGCACCCAAGTCCACTGAACCAGGGATTCTACTCAGAGGCTTTCTGCACTGGTCACGGGCCCAGCTGGTATTCATGGTGAGCTATCCAACAGTTTGAGGGAAAGTACTGCCACGCCCAAGCCCACACCTTCCTCTTTCAGAAAATAGAAGAGGGATCACTTCCAAACCAATTTCATGTTGTCAGAATAACCATAATTCCAAAGCCTGACAAAGTATTACAAATAAAACCAGAAAAACAAAACAAAACAACAACAAAAAAAACAAACTATAGACCAACATCCCTCATGAACTTAAGACACAAATTCTAAAATAGTCAATGTAAGCCAGTAATATGTAAATATATATATTATGAATTAAGTGACATGGCCCAGCATTTTAAGATGAGTTTAAAATTCTGAAAATGTATTCATTCTACCATGCTTAAAGAATAAAGGAGAAAAATCAGACGACTATGTCAACACATGTAGAAAAACCATACATCAAAATCCAACTTATGGAGGAATCTTTCTCAGTCTGGGAAACAAACTTACAAAACCTAACACATGCAGTGTTACTTGTATTGGCGAAATACCGGAAGCTTCTCCGTTACTGGGAACAAGAGCAGGATGTCCACTGCCACTGTATTTACTGAATAGTGGAAGGCTCTAGACAATGCAATGAAAGAAATAAAAGCATGTAGGTCAGAAAGGAAGCAGCATATTGTCTTTGTTTACAGACATTTTTATACAGAAAATTCTAAGGAATCACAAAACCACTCCTAGAACATGTGAATTTAGCCAAGATCACAGAATACAAGATCAACATACAATAGTCAGCTGTTTTAAACTAGTAGCAATCTAGTTTTATACTAGTAAAAGTTAAAGTTTTAAACTGATTTAGAATACCATCAAGAACAAAGGACTTAGAAATTAACTTTGCCAAAGATATGCAAGGTGTTTATACTGGAAACTACCAAACACTCACTGCTGAAGAAAACGAAATAACACAAACAAATGCTAAGATAAATCAGACATGAACTGAATGAAATTCAAGATGAAGATTCAACCCTAACAGAATTGATATGTGGATTCGATGAACTCCCTATCAAAATCCCAATTAGAATTGTTGCAAAAATAAAACCTTAATTCTGAAAGTAACATGCAGAATTAAGACCTAGAAGCCAAAATAATATTTAAAAAAATAAAGTTGGAGGACTCATGGGTTCATAGTACCTGGTTTCAAGACTTAACAAAAAGCTACATAACCATGGGACTAGCAGAGGACAAAGATCAGGAGAACAAAACACATCTAGAAATAGATGCACACCCATGTGGTCAATTGATCCCAACAAAGGCGCAAAGGTGATTCAATGACGAAAGAAATTTTCTTAAAAGAAGTCAATAAATGATACAAAGACAACCAGATAACTGTATGAAAAATAAATTCTACCACACAAAAAGGTGGCACAAAGTGACTGCCATAACAAAGAATACTATAAAGCTATTAATATTAAACAAAATTATAGAAAAATATTTGTGAAAGGAGAGTAGGCAAGTATTTTTTTTTAGAAAGGACACAAAAAATTGCTAAGCAGAGGGAAAAAAATGACAAACTAGACTTCCTCAAAATTAAAAAAACTCCTACTCATTAAAAGACACCACCAGAAAAACAAAAATGCAAACTCCACCTGTGAGAAGACAATCACAGTACACACGTATGACAAAGGACTCGAATCCAGAACCACAAGTTAATAACCAAAAAAAGAAAACCCTGATTTAAAATGGTCAAAAGACTGAAGCAGACACCTCCCAAAGAAAACACAATTACGGTCAACAGGCTGTCCATCGAAAGTCATCAGGAAAGTGCAAATTAAAACCACGACGAGACAGCACAGTCTTACCCACCAGAACGGCTAAAATCATTAAAACTGACAACACCAAGCATTGGCAAGAAGGTGGAGCACCGAGACCCTCAAACGTTGCTGATGAAAACAAAATGACATGATTTGGGGAAAAGTTTTAGCAGTTTCTTATAAACATACATCTGCCATCCTGTTCAGCAGTTCTGCATCTAGGAATTTATTCAAGAGGAAGGAAAGCATGCCCACAAAGAGGCCTGACCGGCCATCATAGAGATGACTTAAAGCGGCCATTAGGGAACCTTCCGGAGAGCTCCGTATCTCAGTCTGGGTGGCAGTCATACGGTTGTCCGCTTTTGTCAAAACTCACGTGCATTTAAAAGCCGAGTTTCACTACGTAATTTGCCTTTTTAAAAAATAAAATGTTGAAAACTTAACTGAGTGTTCATATAGCTTTTATATTATTCTCCAACTTTCAAATGCTTCCCCCCAACTACACACACACACAGACACTGCTGGATGCCCCCCAAAATCCACTTCCTGCTCCTTCCTCCCCACCTCAGGGTCCCTGACGGTGGCCAGCACGTGACAACCCACCATCCCTGCAGCTAAGTGTGGCCACATGACAGCTCCCCAGACAAGCAGAGAAAAGAGGAAATCTCGGCATCTACCCTGGAAAGGGAGGTGTCATGCCCACTTTGTCCCGCCCTCACCTGCAGCCCGGGCCCAGCAGCTGGCCTAGAGACCCAGGCAGGGACCACAGTCTGGAGACCCCGAGAGGAAACTCAGGGGACCTTCAAGCCACCAGATCCGCCCCCACTGTGTACAGGTGCGTCTTGACGAGGCTTCAGGTGCACCTCACCTGAAGTCACTGGAAGGCTCTGCGCACAGCCAAACCTGACCCCAACTCAAAGTGCATCAAGTAGAAACTCAAGATTAACTCTTCATCTTCGTTCCATTCACTTGACCACAATGCGCATTTAACTAAACATATCTTAGAATGCTCGTGGGTTTAACTTTTTTCCTCCCAAAATTCACTTTAAGCAGTACCTTGACTCTTTTTTCCCCCCTAAAAGAAAAAAAAAACCCAACACGTAATTCCTATGATTTATCGTGCAACTGAACACGTCAAAAGACCAAATGACATTTCCCCTACAAATGATCTGGTGCCTGTGATTTTCTGGGCACTGCAGCCAGGTGGTTCTCATAGAAATTGAGAAGAGTGTACTTGCACGGTTCAAAAGGTTTGCTTATTTCTTGGTCTTAAAAAAAAAGATGATATTGATCGTAACGGGCGGCTCTACGGGAGAGATCTGGACGGCGGGGGCGAACACGGGTATTTATTACCGCACTTGTGCTCATTATGGCCGTCTCCGACAGGGGTCCATTAAAATCAATTTTTATGTTTCTTATGTATTTTCTTTATCTAATGTTCTTGGCATTGTGCTTATTAGCCAGTTGAGACACACACCGAGCACAGGAGTGGGTGGTTCTCCCTTCCGTCAGAAATGAGGAGGACGACAGTTTCCATGCAACTTCGAAACAGAACGTTAGGGAGAAACAGTGGAGATTAATCACAGGAAGAGAAACACGCATCCTCTCAGAAACGCCAGGACCCTGATGTCACGCTAAGAAGGGGCTTCGCGTGCCCTTCCCCCGGCAGGGCCGGGCCCGGCGGCGCGGGAAGCAGCGGTCTGCAGGGCCCTAGGAAGGCGCGGGGAGCTCCTCCTGATCAAACAGTTCCAGGACACGCAGCATCCCCGCAGGAAAGCCGACCGGACGGCCCCGATGAACAGGGAAGGCTGGTCTCGATCACAAAACCGTCAAGGTGAGAAGACTAGTCCCCCACGGCCCCGTCTCCGAGTTTCCAGAGACATGCGTAGAAGACGCCGGATGCTCGACGCCCCTAAGCGACCCGCCCTCCACAAAGGCGAACGTTAATCACCGTCTCTGGCCTACGCGCCAAAGGCTACGTCCCCACGGCTCATCAGGGGTGGAGGATTCCCGGGCAACACGCGCAGAGGCCGGGGACGCAAGAGCGATCACGGCGGACTGTCCCGAGAGGGAAGGGTGATGCTCGTGGCTGTGGCGTAAGGGCTGCACGCTTCCCCGTGGTCAACGCAAAACAGACGGTTATCGCGTGCACGTGTGCCGCTTCCGTGCGCGCCCCACAGGCTCACACTCACTCAGCTCCGGGCGTCTTCTCCCCGGGAAGCCTGATCCCATGCAGACCTCGCTCGCAACCAGAGAGCTCCAGCTTCCCCAAAGGGCTGTCCAGCGTTTTGTATTTCAGTTCGCAGGTCTTGTCCATTCTGCCAAGCACCTAAACAGAAACAGCGTTTAAATTAAATTAAAAAGCGTGGAAGAGCTTGGCCACATATAAAGCACGAGAGAAGCATCAATAAAGACAAAATACATCATCACAACGCTTTTTCCTTGTTCTTGGAAATTATATGATGTGTGATTTTTACAATATAGTTGCTTCGAAGACAGAAAATTACCACAATTACCCAGAGCACCCATCCAGCACTACACCCTCCTCCCATTCCCCTGAATTACCACATCCCGGGTGGTTCTCATCTGTCTTAACCAAGGCACAGCTGAAGGAAGCAGAGCTGGTAGAGCTCCTTTTAAACGATACCTAAAACTAAGGCAACCTGGCCTTAATATCTAAACAGCTACCAGACAATGAAAACGGAAGACAAACTGCTTATTTTGAATGAAGTATGCCTATAAATAAAGCACCTACGATACAGAGACGCAGGGAGGCTCAACTCAGCACTTACACAGGGAGAGGGAGAGGGTGTGCAGTGCGGGAAGGAAACACTCACATTGTGGAAAGCATAGTTTGTATTCAAGGAAATGTACCAACGCACAAGGTCTATCCTATAGACGTGTTCTCCATGACAACAATTTCGCCAGATACTAATTTCGGCCAACGGAGCAAAGGCAGGAAAGAATGCGTGCATTAAGAGCAGTGAGAAGCCAGTAATAAGGTTTGGACAAATGGGTATTTTACAAAAATCGCCCTCCTCCAGGGGGAGGCAAGGGGATGGTGATGGGGGCTGACTACCTGGACCAGAGCGAGCCCTCGGTCCCCTCTCGCGGTTCTGAGACAGCAGGGAGGGTCCACCGCCCCGCTGGTCACCCCAGTGCAGACGCTTCCCGATCCTCCACGCCTGACCACGACACCAACGATAAACGCAAAGATTTTGAGACCCCCAACCCGAGACTCAGAATCCGGGCTGTACCCACCGCCTCTGCTTCTACTGTCCTAGAGGCACCTCAAACGAACTCGCCCAGAACCGTCACTCTGCAAAAACGCTCTCCTGCACGCAGGATCCACAGAGCAGCAGCACCATCCCCGCCGGCCTTGCTCAAACCTCACCTGCAGCCCCAGACTCCTCACTCCGTAAGCACTGGGCCTCCTTATTTCCAGGTCTTACGCCCACGCCCTCCTCCCACCACCACAGCCTCACCTGGAGGCCCTCGTGGAGTCTCCCCGACCACGTGGGCAAGGCCCTCCCCAGGGCCCCGCTGCACCTGGGCTCTTCCCACTCCCCCGCAAGCAGCAGCCCGGGGCCCACGTGGAGCGACGCTTCCCAGGCTCCCCGCATCAAGGGCTCGTGCAGGGGCAGCAAACCGGAGCCCACGGGCCAACGCTGGCTCCCCACCTGTTTCTGAGAATAAAGCCCTCTTGGAACACAGCTGCACTCAGTCGTGACGGCCTCTTGCTGCTTCCGTGCCACGGCGGCAGGGCTGGTGGGCCGTGACGCGGGCAGCGCGCCCTCCACGCCTAGAATGCCCACGCTCCGGCCCGCCCGCCCCTGCACAGCTGCAGCCCCGAGTCCTTGGGCGTTCCTCAAGGTGTCCCTGTGTCCCCATTGGAATGTCCCTTCCCTGCCTGGCGTCTCCTGTCCTGTGAAACCCAGTGCCACCACCCCAGTCAGTCTTTCCTTTGTGCATGGCACGTGCCCCCAGTGCCACGCTCTGGTTCTCTGCCCTTCCTCCCGACAGCCAGGAGAGAGAGTCGCATGCACGTTCCTTACAGGGGTCAGGCAGCGGCCCCCACATCACGCAGGTGCTTTGCAGAGGCTTCGCTGCCCAGACTCAACCCTAAGCACTCAGACTCCCGGGCCGCCCTGCACAACATCCCCTCTTGCGTGCAGATTGATGGGGATTTGACTCGGATTCCATCCAGCGCCCAGGGAACGGATCTGGGATTTGCCGGGAAACCTAGCCTCTGCCGGAGAGCCTCTCTGCCCACACACCCTCCTGAACCCCCGCCTGCCAGGGCTCCCCGCGGCCTGCGGATAGGAGCCGAGCTGCCTGGGAGGCCCGAGAGGGCCCTGCGGAAGGAGCCACCTGCCCTTGCTTCACCAGGCGGGGCAGGGACCAGAGGAGACAGGAGGCGGACACAGGGCCCCCCACCCACTGGTCCGTCGCTTGGAGACAGTCACTTGGACTCTGCGCACACTGTTTTTACCTGCAGGGTAGACAGCATCACACGGCAAGCTCAGCACGAGACTGGAGGGGGTGCATGTGACAGACTTGGGGACCTGAGTGACCTCAGCATATCTGGGACCGCCGGTCTCCCTGTCACCATCGACATTTTCACCAAACGTCCCTTGCCTTCGAGCTTGTCACCTGCAGTACCCAGCCCTTCTCCCCAGAATCTTATCCAAAGCATCAAAATCCTGCCACTCTTCAAAAGCTTCCCCGTCTCCGCCAAAACCCCTCTGTGCCACAGTCAGCTGGCCCCGCCCACCCGGGACACCTGCGAACATTTCCCATCATCCTCAGCCACCCCCAGACGCAGGGGGCTGTCGCGTGAGTCGCCGTCCCCCTGCAGGTGGCAGGCGGAGGACGGCACACACACAGGAGCTCATGAAAGACTTGTTGACCGAGCGAGTCATTGTTGTGCCCGCCGACCAGGCCAGGTGTCCCCGACAGCAGTCCCCAGAGTGTTCACAGAGGGTGCTGCTCAGAGAACAGGGCCCGGGGGAGGGTAGGGGGGAGTGAGAAACCTAGGTGCTCCGTCCACGTCATGGAAACTCACCCGCACGGCAGTGTGTGAAAAGCACAGGCAGCCGCAGTAAGACGCCGGCTTTTGGCCGGGCGGGTGCACGCCTGTAATCCCAGCACACTGGGAGGCCGAGGCGGGAGGATCATTTGAGCTCAGGAGTCTGAGACCAGCCTGAGTAAGAGTGAGACCCCGTCTCTACTATAAATAGAAAGAAATTAGCCAAACAACTAAAAATATATAGAAAAAATTAGCAGGGCATGGTGTCGCACACCTGTAGTCCCAGCTACTCGGGAGGCTGAGGCAGGAGGATCGCTTGAGCCCAGGAGTTTGAGGTCGCTGTGGGCAAGGCTGACACCACGGCACTCTAGCCTGGGCAAGACTCTGTCTCAAAAAAAAAAGAAAAGAAACCAGCTTTTGTTTGTGTCACTCTCTCAAATGCAGTCTACTGCACAGCCATGTTCTCTACGCTGTAACCCAGCTCGGCTGGGCTGAGTCTGTGTCCAGCAGAGCCGGAGTCAGGACTCAGGCCGGAACGGTGACAGACCGGTGCACCAGCAACAGGCGGTGCTTACGACAGCATCAGAACCAACCCTGCTGAGTTGGAGCGCACATGCAATGAGTTACAGAAACAGGCGGTTTACTGGAAGGCTGTTCTGTAACTCACAGAACTTCGGAAGGCGGAGAAGCAGCCCACGGACTGGCCGCAGCTAAGCCCAGTCGAAACTGAGCTCAGGAAACACCTGTGGACAGCCAGGGACAGGAGACGTGGCGGCTGGCACTGTTGCCACCGTTGCCCCTGGAAAGGATGTGGCAGTCACGGTGACATCAATCCTCGGCCACCGGCCTCTGTGTGACATGCTCCCGGTCCAGGCCCAGGCAGGGGCCCAGGCAGCGGGCTGTGCCCAGTGTGAACAGCAGTGCAGGGGTGGCCCGGCAGGGACGTGCTCAGCCACATCGGCCTCGAGGGAGACACAGACCCAGCCCCACTGCGGACGCTCAGACAAGGACACCCCAGCTGGGGACAGGACAGACGCCAGGTGGCACTCCCCTTCCCAGGACTGCTGACCCCGCTGCCTGGCAGCGCGGCTCTGAGCGCCTCACTGGAAAACCCACGGCCGGGCTGGCGCACCGTGCACTGTGATGGTGACGGCTGGGGCTCATGTGGGCCACGCTGGAGCTCACGGCCGCCAAATACCAGCGGAGGACACATGGAGTGTTCTGAGAAGGGCCAGGATGGAAGGAGGGATGTCCCACACAGGAGCAGGAACAGGACCCTGGAGCGCCACCAGGCAGCTCAGCCCTGCCAGCTGCTCGGGAGAGGGCCCCTAGGTCATCAGGCTGAGTCCCGGTGCTGCTCTGACTGCAAGAGACTGAACTTGGGGGCCATCCGTGCGTGAGAGAATGCAGCAGAGAAGGCGCGGAGCCCGACCTGTGGGCCATGCAAACGACCGGACCTGCAGTGACCATCTCTGCACCAAACAGCACCTCCGCCGGCAAATCCCAAGGATCTGGCCCTCCATGTCTGAGAGGGGCCAGAGGGACCCGGAGCTCTGGCACCCCCCGCTGAGCCTGCGGTGCTGTCCCGTGAGGGGCACCCCAGCACGGGCCTCCCGTCCAAGCCGGCTCGCCCTCCCCCATCCAGAGCCAGCTCCCCACCAGCAAGGGCCAAGGAAGCCACAGCACACGGAATCAGTCAGTCGCAAAGGTGGCACAGGGTCCCCAGGAGGCTCCATCCAAATCCCTCCCAGAAGCACGGGAGGGGGCTCAGCGTGCAGCGGGAGCAACTGAGGAGCTCGGGGTCTGACTTCAGTGGGAGCGATGAGCACTACGGCTCTCTATGCGGATCCCATCAGCGGGTCGTGACCGTGGGGAGCTAAGCCCTTGGACTTGCCTGCGGTTTAGATGGGATCAAACGACACCCGCCTCATTCCACCTGAACACGCCGCCGCGCTGAGCCACCTCACCTAGACTGAGCCCGCGCGGACGGCCCGGCGCTTTCCGGACGCCGGCCGCTGCGCTGTCCTTCCGGGGACCCTCCTGGTTTTTAGGCCCATCCGCCGCCGGCGTTGCCCATCCAGGATAACGCCCCACAACCCGCCGCCACCGCCGAGCCAGCGGGAGAAGGGCAGGGTTTTGGCGTGCTTTCCCATCAACCTGCCAGCCGTGGGACTGGAGGTGCCGCGGAAACCTGCACGCAACAAGCACGCGGCATGGAGCCTTTCCACGGGCAAAAGCAAAGATGGGTTTAATGCAAAGCCCCCACGTGCCGTGGACGAGGCCACTCGGAGAAGCGGGCG